GAGAGAGAGAGAGAGAGAGAGAGAGAGAGAGAGGGAGAGAGAGAGCGAGAGCGAGAGCGAGAGCGAGAGCGAGAGCGAGAGCGAGAGCGAGAGCGAGAGCGAGAGCGAGAGAGAGAGGGAGTGCGAGAGCGAGAGGGAGAGCGAGAACAGAAGACCGGCAAAAACAGGCAGCCCTGACCGGCAAGTCCAAGGCCACGATCTGCTTGTGCATCAGCTGCCTCTTTAGATCCGGGCGGGTCGCGAATCGAGGAACCAGACTGCTGACTCACCCGACTCCATCGCCAAGCTGCAAAAAGTCATCCAAAGCGTAGCCTTTGTCATGCAGCCTCGCGGCGAGCCCCGTCATGCAACTGACGGATCAGGACACGTAGTTTGAGAGCCCAGCAGGCCCTTCAGTGACTTGAGAGAAGCAGCATACGACACCTCCAGGCAAACGACTCGGCTAGCCAAAATCATGCGACGCTGTGGGTGATTCTCGGCTGGTACAACAAACGGGCTCCAAACCGTGCCGTTCAGAAGCGTTCGCAGAAAGTGAGAGATCTCCTGCATCAACCAAAAAACGGCGGTTTGGTTCCCTGAGCCTTTGACTCCTCAGGCGACGCGCACCTCCGGAGCTGGAACCCCTGTCGAAGCGTACACAGCGCCGGCATCCACGCGTCCGCCATGTCCTTGGGCATTCCACTCGAGTCGCGGCGGGGCTTCCTTGCGAGAGGAACTCGGAAATCGGCCCATGGAGGTGGTCTGGAAGACGTTCAGAACCTTTCGCATGTCGCCACCCGCAACCTGACAGCTTGGAGTTGAAGATGCCGAGACAGCTAACACAGGCCGGTCTCCGACGCCTGCACAATGGCCTGTGCGCCATCTTTCGTCAGCTGGATCTTTTCGCACTGGGTCAGGGAAACCAGATTCAATGCGGCTTGGCAAGTTGGATCATCATGGGAGCGACAACTTGAAGAATGGAGCGCTCGCAACAACTCTCCACCGGCTTGCTGGATTGCTGCCGCTTGTGAATCGGAAGGTCCTGCCTTTGCAACATACTCGAGCCTGCCCAGGATTTGTTCCTGCGTAAACTGAGCTGATGCTTGGAGGCCGCTTCGCCAACCTCTTGTTACCAGTATGTCAGTTATGTCCCTTATCTCCGTCCTCTGAGAGTGGCGCGAAGCGAAGCTTTGTGCACCGCGACCTGATCCATGACGGATCCGGGCCGTGCAGCGTTGAAAAGCCGGTACTAGGCTTCCGACTGCAATGCTGGAATGATTTTGCTGCTGTAGTTGCAGATCAGGATAAAGCGGCAGTTGGAGGCATACCTGGCTTCCGCCGGCTCTCGAAACAAGACAGCGCCGGAACAGAACCGAGGCACTGCTCGATCATCCGCCGTAGGGCAAACTGCGCTGTACTCGTCATGTTGTCAGCCTCGCCAGAGACTCTTCGTTCCACTCTGTCTTTCTCTCCTCTCCACTTGAGACCTTTCAATGCCTCGTCCAGGATTACCAGCTTCGGCTGCCCGTCCACGGAGCCAAACAACTGCTTGACACTCACCTGGGGGCAGGCAAAGGAACCGGTCCTTTGTGCTCTCCGGCTGTGTCCAGGGTACAGGCAAAGGTCTTGATCTGCTCGCGGACCACGTCGATGCCACGCGCATCGGAGGCATTCATCTCCAGGGTCATGGACTTGTATCGCTGTTTGTACCTGCCACCAAAAACATGCATACTTGAAAAGCTCCGGGGGTCCAAGTTATTGGGCTTTTGAGCATATTCAAAAGAGACACATTGTCTTGGCCAGGGCCATGATCGTCGATGTTTTGCCTGTACCCGGAGGGCCGTGCAGCAACCTGAGCCATCTTACACTGGTAAGAACCGAAGGCCGGGCATTTGAAATGCGGCGTGGGCACATGTGCGGCAATGTCTTTTTCGCCATCATCCTCTCGATCATCCGGATGATGTCCTTACCGTCTCCCGTCGCCAAGATGCGCACTGCAAGCCAGACCACGCTGGAGACGGGGCGCCTCGTGCGCCACAAGCTGATCCAGCGATGACGGTCGGTACTTTTCCACCTCAGTCTGTCGCCCTCATCAACGTCCTTGACATGTGCATTCGACCGCTGTGGCTGAGGTGCAGGCCCAAGGAAGCAACAGTTCCCCTTCACGAGGAGCCTCGCAGCACAACGCGTGCTGCGGACGGAGCTGCGTGGTTCTTTTCTGTCCCTCGATCTATAGCTCTAGGTTTCACTCGCGCAACAAACTTCCGAAAGAATCCGCCCCTACGGCTTCAGCGGCCCGTGGCTAAGCATCTCGCGCATGCTCGCGCCACGCTGTCTTTTCTCCGTCCGCCGCCCGCATGTGTAGAGAACGCAGCTGAATCTCATAGAGAGACGATCGGGCGACTATAAGACCGCGTCCGACTAGGACAGGTGCATCGAACTGCCAGGGGCCTCCATCGAAACATCCGCTGTCGTGCTGTCAACGTCCATGGCGGCAAGAGAACGACTTTCCTGACTTTGAAACTCTCTCAATATCAAGCGCATGGAAAACAGCCGAAGAGTGGATGCAGGGATGGTATTCGGAAAACACATGTGCAACGCCAACCTTGGGCAAAGACTGCAACCAGGCCGGATCAACAAGGAAAGGGTCGGCTGTGTGGTTCCTTTGCTTTTCGACACATGCAGCTATGTCCTTGAGACTCCTGCCATCTAGAGTCTAGAGCCTACTTGGAGCACACCCTCGATGGAACTGGGCCGGTGCAGGGTCACTGCAGTGATCAACACTGTACTTTCCTTTGCAGCCCCTGCTGACAGCTTGTGCGGGAAGCGGGGGTGCAACTTGCTGTGGCTCCGAGACACAAGATGCAGCTGTTCAGCCTGCCCCATGCCCCGCCACTCGTGCCCCGTCACCAATTTCTCGCTGCGCCAATCACTCGCAACGTGTGCCCTGGCTCACGTGACAGACTCGCCTATAGGCTCAACTCACGCTGGCTTTCAGAGGCAAGAACCCTTCCAGGATGCTCCCTTAACACCCTCACTCCTATGATAGCTGCATGCAGCTTATTGCTGGTTGTGCGGCATATGTCGTCCGGAAAGGATTTGCAGCATATGGCGTCGATTCTCCGCACCCACTCTTCCAGGTTCACACCGGAGCTCAGTCTCGATCCCTTGCAGCCTGGTAGAATCAGAGTCTTTGCATCCAAGAGTTCGGTTTATGTCTCATGCCGTGAGAGCATCAGAAATGTGGAAAGCGCTGGAAGTTTACAATGTTTGAGAAGTTCTTGCGAGAGGGTACTTCAGTTCATTCACTCGCCATTTTGTCACGGGCACGTGGTGCCAAGCTGTTGAAAACTTATAAACGCTCAACACGACACCCGCTGCAATCCGCCCGCGACAGCCATCAGAACAGGGACAAGGGCACCATGTGCAACGAGAAAACGGCAAATTAAATCCTCTATAGCATCGTAGCGACCACCAACAGGGTTACGTTGCTATAACAAGTGGCTGCAACCATTGTTTGCTGACACTGCTCTCCTTTGCTTGGGCTGTTGGTTCCTGGGTTTCCTTTCGGGTGGTGCCTTAGCCAGCAGTCCCTTCGCCTTGATCTATGCTGATGCGTCATTTGAAGCGGGTCAGTACGCTTGGGAATGCTTGGGATATCTTTGCAGCGCCCCGCTTTTTAAATTTGGGCTAGATGTGGTGCAGGAGTGAGTGCCTCGACGTCAACAGGTTTTCCCAGGCGACGCAATGTGCCTCCTCGTACTTAATCTGCTGTACCCGAACATCTTGAATGGCCGTGACCTCTTGTGTTGTATCGATAATCACACGCTGCGGTCTCGGCGGCGGTTGCAGCTTCAAGAGCTGAAGAAGATTCGAAATTGCACATATGGCCAACCTCTTGCGTGCTCGGCTTCTCTGCTGGTCTGCTGGTCTGTTTTGGTCGTCTGCCGCACTCCGATGGTCTCTGCTCGATGCGATTCAGGTCAACACGCAAAAAGGCGCCCGCACTCGCAATGCACGTACTGTTGCGCGAGGCTTACGGCTGCCATGTCGGAGAATTCACACACGGATTCCTTTTTTTGCGGCTATGCGATGTGTGATATAAATGCAAAGAAGAGGGAGCACGAGTAAATCAGCAGAGCTGGACTTCGAACGGCAGGAATGGCATGCCTCTGCACTGAGCTCATGAAGTGAGCAAGGCTCGTTTTCGCCCGCAGCCCGAGGCAACGTATCGCACGGAGTCGAAGCACCCACGCGACAACACCTGAGCCAGAGAAGACGCAAATCGGGGCGGCAAAATGTTCGCCCGTGCTGTGGTGCTACAGGGCTGCGCTGAGCTGCAAGCTTTGGCCGCCTGGAAGAGGCCCGCCGGGCCCGCGTCTTGCGCTCAGCTCAGCCACCGAAGAGGTACTCCAGCACGTCGATCTGCGCAGCCACACGGCCGACTTTCGCAAGCTCTTACTCTGCACCACCCGGGCTCGGCGCCTCTCCTCGAAGAATCTTCGACAATCCTCCGACAGCGTCAGAGGCACGTCTTCTCTCTCTTTGTGCACGCTGTCTTTCCTGGGCCAGTCTTCTTGGTCAGCAAGAAGAACATCTCCTTGTCCGGGCCATACCTGGCAATTGAGACTGCCATTGCAACTAGACGCTCGCTGGGTGCAGATATGCTCCGGGATCACTTCTGCACAACTTCTTCCCAGCTCAGCGTATCGTGAAGGTCGTCACCGGTCTGGTAGTAGTGGTCCTCCAGAGCATCGCGATGGGTGCCACAACATCTCGATGCTGTGAAATGCTGGCCTCCAAGTACAGGAGATACCGCTCGAAGGTTCTCCTTTGGTGGGTATGCTTGACGTTATCCATGTTCCCATCCAGCTCTGCGACAGCTTCTTGCACAAACCTGAAGCCGACACAGAGCTGCAGCAGAACGAGGCAGAACTTAGCCAGCTGAGCCAGGTGCTTCAAGTGGGTGCGCATAGCTTCGAGCTCAGGAACCCTTTCTGGCCGCACCTGAGGTTCACAGGCCTGGCCTTTCGAAGCTGCGCATTCCCAGTGCGGCGCTGAGGAGTCGACAAACTTGAAGGCAGGATGCGGGAAGTAGGAAACGCGAACAGGATAGGATCCAGGGTTGGTCAGCATCTTGCTGATCTCCTTCCCGGGTCGACACGGGCTCACTGCCTAGTACAATCGTGACGACTACACCGCTGTTTTCCGTGCCCTCTGTAAGCATGCTTGATGCAGGCGAGTAAGGTCTCTCCTCTCTGCACAGGCAACGTGGGCATTCTCGGCTCCATAGAAATTATTCTTAAGCGCTCCACTCAGGACCGCCCCGTTCATGCCCCGCCTCGACTGCACATTATTGCTTAGGCCAGGCAGAACGAAGGTCTTTGTCAAAGGCAAGCACGCTTGCAAAACATCAGGGAACCCTTGGTGGTGAATCACAGCACAAGGCAGCCGCCGCTCTCCTGCTTGTTGCCCATTGCTTCTGTACCCCTGGCATCGGTGAACTTCAAGCACCTTCGCGCCAGGCGCCGGTGCAGCGTAGAAAAAGGGCTGCTGACACAGAGTGGCTCCTGTTGTCCAGAGATGGCGGTGGTATGCCAGCAGCGAGCATCTGCCACGAGAGCATCTCTCCGAAGGACTCCTTTCGAAACTTGGCCGCTCGGAGAGTGAATCGAGTGAGTCTGCGCTTTCCTGAACCGTTATGCTAAGTTATGTTCGCAAAACAAAAAAGGCCCGCCACAATGCAAGGCCTTAAGGATACCGGCAAACTTCAGGGTTTTGTCTGTCCTTGTCAGAAGCCTGCATCGTGAACTCAAACTGGCCGCTCCTGGGCAAGCGACTGCAAAGCACTCGTCATAAAGCACTTAGCCGGCTCAGCCCCAAGGACGAGGCATTGTGATGCCCTCCTCGATGCCCTGGCCCCAGGCCTTGCGAACCTCAGCTCAGAAGCGGCCCACACGCGCTCAGCCGCTCTCTCCAATCGAAGGCTCGGTGTGCCACCAGATGGGAAACCTTGCCCTGGCCCGATGGCCTGCGCAGGCAAAACCATCGAGACGCATAAGCCCAATGTCGCCCATCGAACTCAGGCTCATGCCCAGACTCTAGATCACAAGGCGCGATCCTTTCCTTTGGTAGTCCCTCCTGCAGGGTTCAGACAATCGTGTGACTGACTCTCCTTTTACAGTGCAAGCTCCTCCAAGCCGAGGGATGCGCGTGACGGTCCCTCCTTGCAGAAAGCGAGTGGTTTCCGTGTGGCCTACCTCTACGACTCTACGACTTGCAAGCTTTCCAACTCTTCTATGCCTCCTCCGCAGGTGGTGGTGCGAAAGGCCTTGGAGTGTTGGAAAGTGGCCCCGGGAGCAAAGGGCGCGGGGTGAGGCCGAAAAAGCCATTAAGGCCTCGGACAGCACGCCGTCGCGGAGCCGAACCTGAGAGGAACCCCAAACGCCGCGTATCGCCGCGTGCAGTGGCCGGACGCAGCGTGCGGCCGCTACCCCCGCCTCCGCACAACGTTGGCTGGCGACGTTGGTGCGGAGCATCGTCCGGAAGTCAGTCCGGAACCTGAGACGAGACCGCCAATCCTACGCAATCCCCACAACCTCAAAACTAGGCACGCAATGCGCCGCTACCTGGCTGGCCGACGCTAATCAAGGAACCCGACCCACACACCCTTTTCTGGCAGATGACTCCCTCGGCTCCTTTAACCTTTAAACTTTAAACGCTCCGGGCAACTTCGATGAAACCGCGGATCGAGCGAAGCAAATGGGGGGGATTCTAAATCAGAGTCCCTTTATGTGGGGTCAACGGTAATGGGACATGGGTACCCCCAACATGATCAGCAAATGACGCTGCGGGTGTCCTCAACCACTAGCGGTGCCCCCAAGGGACCGGGACCCAAGCGACGGATCTCCGACAGCACTTGCCCGGCAGCACCCGCAAGTGTCCACTGGGCGGAGCCCTTGACCAGGGTCGAAGTCCCGCCTTTGCCCTCGCTTGTTGCGATCGTTGACGACGTAGTCCAAGTTGCCAGCCAGTGTCACGTGTGACGGCTTATCAAACGCATTCGCGCCGCTCCCCCGACCGTTCGTTCCTACCCGCCACAGTTGCGCACCGTTAGGGTACCATAGCACCGAATGAGCTTTCTGTTGGCGAAGACAATAATTATCCTGACCTTGGCCTCCTGGGAATGTTGTCATCGTCGCCACCGAACTCAATCATTGTGGGGCAAGTCATCATTTGGCCGGGCATTGATGTGCTTTGCAATAGCACGCACTCCTTGCCGCTGGTCATGGCAATACCACGCCACGGGGCGCTCGCATCAGGCCCCGTTTGTTAAGCAAATGCAATTGCAGCAAGACCATCTAGATCTTCACGCATCAGTTTGAGCAGGAGGCTTGCATCGGCGGAGGTGTCACGGTCACGGACATCGTGAATCGCTTCTGTTGCGGGATCGGGCTGGCTTATCATGTTTTGGGCTCCGGACCTCAAACTTCCGAGCTTACACTGTGCCACCGGGGCTCCACCTCTTGGTTCCGCTCTCGCAAAACGGCTCGATCATGCTTTAGTTCCGCAAGATGCAATGTGAGCTCGAGCTGACACAGCCTCGCGCAAGCGCTAGGAAGGCTTCTTTTAGCTGGCGATCCTGACGAGGCTGTCGCAGATAGGTGCAGTTGGCATTTGCACGCACTGGCACTTCTTCTCTGGCCTCAGCATCGCTGACATCCACCCAGGCTTTCCGAAAAGGACATTTGTACCTGAGGCTTCCGAGCCCGACAAGCTTTATTTATGACCGGGCTGACTTCTGCCGAGATGCTGCCACCGACTCGATGCAGGAAACGCCATGTCTCTCTAGAATCGTACTCCTGATTCCTTCTTGGGAGTTTGCTCGAAAGTGTTGGAAGGAGTGGACATTGCTAAAGGGCCGCATTGACTAGTGTCGGCAGCAATTCATGTATGTGGCAATGAGCTTGCTTATTTCGAGCAGCGGAAACATGGGGCTGAGGTTGATTGCCTGCTTCGAGTCATAGATTCGAGAATCTACCGCCCTGGCCAAATCGTAAGAGCCAGCCAGGTCGCAACAGCGGCAGTACGAACAAAATCAATGTTGAATTATTCGTCATCTCTTCCGGCAAGCCGGCAAAATCTAAGTCTATGACGGTGTTAAAGCAAGGGACCTTGGGCAAGCTCGTCAGCCTTTGGGCCCCATTTTCGTAAAACTACACAGCCGTGCTTCAGCATTTGCGACCAAGACGTTTGTGACTTGCTTGCCAAAGACCTCAGCCACTGTTGACAGAGGTACCTCGGCCGCGCTGCACCTCGCAAATCGCAAACCGACTCAAATTTGGAAAAGAAAGAACGACAAGATCAAACCGCAAAAGCTGAAATCAAGCGGAGCTGGTCACAAAGGAAGAACAACACACACACACACGCACACAATCTTCCCGAAATCTCAAGCACCACCCAAAATGCAACTGAAGAGTAACCCAGAGCCCAGATGCCACCAGCCTTTTGCAACCAGTAGCTGCAAGCTTCGATGGGGGGATGCAGCAACAACGGGAGTGCTGATACACCGACCCAGGATTTAGAAAAGATCTGGTAATGTGCACAGCACACCAGGACTTCACATCCTTCCATCGGAGACCGATATCAGAAAACTCCCTTTCCACTGGTAAAGAAAAGGGGTGAGGACGGGTGCCTTTCAGCGCCAACTCCACTTGACCATCAAACCACTGTGTTGACAAATGGAAAGCAAGGCAAGCCCACCTGACATACGAAATATAATTCCGAGCAGTGCCAGGGTTCCGAAATAGCGCTACGAAGTGCAGAGCATCCGAAGCTGACC